ACAGCGCCCCCTGGTGTAACAGAGGAGAACTGCCCCACAGGGTTTCCCAGGCTGTCATCTATTTTGTCACTATATACTCATATATACTCTTATAGATCATCCACTCACAGCGCCCCCTGGTGTAACAGAGGAGAACTGTCCCACAGGGTTTCCTAGGCTGTCATCTATTGTGTCACTATATACTCGTATGTACTCTTATAGATCATCCACTCACAGCACCCCCTGGTGTAACAGAGTAGAAGTGGCCCACAGGGTTTCCCAGGCCGTCACCTCTATGGGAGTGGATTGTCTCCCTCTGGCCACTAGTTGGGCAGAAGCACTATCTTTCTGTGAGCTGTCGAGGACTCACTTCTCTTAAACTGAGAATACAAAGTCATCCCTTGTGTCTCTTGGCTACTGTGGGGACACTGGGTAAAGACGTGGTGCTTGGAGCTGTCGTGGGTACTTTGTGACTATGAACCATGGGAGAATCCTAACATCACTCCTATGCCTCACATCTTTAATGTGCAAGAAAAGAGCAAACCTTCTTGTTCCAGTAGAGCAGCTGCTTTGAGTGAGCCCTGTCATTACTGCCTAGGCTTCCCACTCAGACTACTCTGCTTCTATCAAATAATGCTTCAGAACGATGCTTCCAAATCTCAAGGTAAAAAGTTAAGGGAATGGTTAAAATGGTACCGCAACACAAGACCTTTTGCCTCACTGAGCTCTAAGAGCCGTGTACTGTTTCGCATCGATAGAAACAAAACATATGCAGCACAGTGGCTTCATAAGATAAGCACTGGACTGCTAACCATAAGGTCAGTGGTTAGATCCCACCAGCCACTTCTCAGGAGAAAGATGGGGAGTCTTGGAAACCCTATACAGTCTCACTATGAGTCAAAACTGACTCAGTGGCACCTAATAACACAGCAAATAACTGCAAAAAACTTGATGTTCGGGCATGCTTCTTGTAACAGCTTAGCAAGCAAAACCAGTTTTAACAATGTGCCAGCTATTATACGGAGACCAACATGTTTACATACTCACTTATATAGGGGGCTTCAAAAAGTCCATGGAAAACGGAATGCAAGATCATAGAATTTTTCCAAATACTTTTTGAAGCCCCCTTTAATGTGCATTAGGGGATATAAAATGAAATTATGCCCGGATCATTCTGTCGTATTAAAAATAGCTGTTTTTTTTACAATCTATTTCTCTACAAATGACCTGCTGAGAAGAAAATTTCTCGACCCCCTGATCTCCTTATCAGGGCATACCACATCTGTATTTCCACTGTATTGAAGGTGAAATGTGTTAACAATCCATTGCTAAAGTGCAATATGATATAATTACCTGGCTTGTGGCAAACCATAGCTGGTCCCTACTCCAACCCGAGGCAAGCTGTACACAACTTTTTTTACTGTTGCTTGGTCAGGGAAATTGAACATAACCGAGGCTGTGGTAAGAAAAGAAAAGAGGATTGAGGAAACCAAGGAGAGCAAACCAGAAATAATTTCAGCAATAATTTCCTAGCGTTTATTATAATTTGTTTGTACAAGTGAGGTGACTGCTTGGAAAAATCAGCATTCTGTCCACAGACTGCTCACATAGTGACTGTCTCCTTACCTAACTAACTACTGTCTTTACCACACAAGTGAATAAATCTAGTATTCAACTGTCGAGCACATTTATGACGCAGTGTGCAATGCCGAGACACACATCAGTGATGGTGATGTTAGGGTTATGCATCAAACTTGGCTGGACCACAATTCTCAGTGGTTCCGCACTCAAAAGTACTGATTCAACTTGACAGTTATGTAGTGATGCAATTTGGCAGGTATGTAGTGATATGATTTGTCCGTTGTATAATTACATGACTCATATAATTGGGCAGTTATACAATGGTGTACGTGGTCATCCTCTGTTTTGTGAGTTGATGTGGTTTTCCTCTATGTTCACATAATGCTGATTTTTACGTAAGGGTCTGGTCTGTGAAACCATACTGATTAGTGAAGAGTTGGTGTGTGACTTATCTAAGAGAAATACACTAACTTTTCAAACAAAGTCTTTTTTTTTTTTAAATTTGTTTCAGTGAGAGCATATCAAAGAGAGACACACAGAGAAGGAAAATCAAAATAGTATCATGCCACGTAAATGAACAACGTCTTGAAAGGAGTACGTTTTCTTTTGAAACATGCAGGGGGACTTACTTCGGTTTGCCATAAATACTTCCAAAGCAGTGTTTTGTAGAAGGTACCGTCTGGAAAATACAGCTCTTATTTCGCTGAACATCCATTTCCCGTGAAGACCCTCAGTGTATGCAAGCACCTAAAATAAACAGGATGAAGGGGAATGTCAGTCAGTAAAACATTATCTAAGACTTATTCTGATAGTATCTCAGACACCGCTGTGTAAAAGTCAGAAAATCAGGGAGCACACTTCTGAATTCATGGTTTATTACGCCATTGTCAATCATTGGATACCGTATTTCTGCAAATTTTCTGCCTTTCTACATCTTCTTAGTTGGCGCATGAGGAAACCAAAGAGCAGAAAAGTTATCTTTTTGAGGTGACCTGTGACTTAGCACAGAAGATGGATGAAAATATAACTGTTAGATCTCGTAGAGAACTCATAGGACCATGTGACCACTTGCAGCATTAACCGTTGGTTCTTTTCCAATATTTGAAATCCCAGTGACCCTCAGCTGTCAGTCCCCAGCAACGCATCATGATGTGTCTAAGCTAGAGCTCTGCTTGGTTCTATAAAAGGCCCGATGAGAACTATTTTTGGGTGTTGTGATCCAACAAGTTCTCAGCTTGGTCCCTGAGGCATGAGAGCGATCAAGGCTGCGGTTGTGCGTCAGTCATTCTGGATTGACAAGAGGAGCTGGGGGGCCCGGGGGCTGGGTTTCCCCAGGTTCATGCTGTCTCTCATTTTCCCAGCTTCCCTGGACACACTCTCACTAATGAGAAGTAAGGCAAAGCAAGTCAGGGGTACTGACGTAGCATGAGATGGTGAAACCAATTTCAGCAGCCCCCTGCACAGAGCCTGTCCCATGAGAAAGAGAACCGTCTGTGAAGTGCAGCAGACCCCTTCCTTCCATCTGACACCTTATCAGCACGCTCGTTGGAATCAACACACCGACACAGGCCTTGAGGGAACGTAGTAGTTAACTTTACATCCTGGCATTTCTAAACCTTTGAAGACAAGCTCGGCAGTCCCTGGGCACATCTCCTTACTCTAGACTCGTAATTACAGAGTCCTGGCGGTGATATAGAACAAGCACTGGACTGCTAACCACAAGGTTGGCCGTTCAAACTCACCAGTTGCTCTGAACGAGAAGGCCTCAGCTTTCTGTTCCTGTCAAGAGTTATAGCCTTGGAAACCCTCTTCAGTAGGAGTCAGAATCGACTTAGTTTTCGCTTGTTTGTTTGTTTTAGATTAATAATAGACTCTCTGGGTTTTAACTTTGTAATAATTTCACTTTCTGCCCTTTTCATTTTACTTTTGTCTCCCCCTGTGGTGGCTTGAGAGTTGCTGTGATTCTGGAAACTCTGCCACATCCCAGCAGGCTCAGCCGTGGAGGACACGTTTCCTCAGAGCTTCCAGACTAAGAGACTACGATGAAGGAATAGGTGGTCTACTTTTGAGGGATTCAATGCTGAAAACCTTCTGAAGCACAGTAGATTATCTGCCAGAGTGCTGGAAGATGAGCCTCTAAGGTTGGAAGGCAGGCAACAATGGGCTCACGCAGAGTAAGAATTGTGAGGGTGGTCGCGCTGAGTCGGAACTGACCTGACAGCAGGCCACAACAACAACAGCTGAGGACGGTCACAGAGGCAGGCTGACTTGTGTTTAAACCCCGACACCTTTGGCAGCCAGGCCAAGTCTTACTGAAATCTTTGCTCTGCTGTGTAGCAGATAGGGCACCTGGGGAAAGAGACCCCATGGGACTCCTCATCTGAGGGGCAGTGATAGCAATTCCTGTGAGTGGCTAGTAGCTGGAGAGGCAGCCAGTGGGATATATCGCAGAATACTCTGAAACAAAATGCAAACACTATGAAGTGCTGAGCTCAACAAACCAGTAGTACTGAAACCAGCCTGGGGATTTTCCTGCCCCTCCTGGGCCTTTCCCGCCTCCTGGACTCAGTCCACTTCTGCGTAGTGAAAACACTGGTGTTGGGGTGGGGGTGGGAGTAGGGAAACTGCAGCTTTTCAGTGAGGGAGGTGGTGGTGGGCAGACGACCAGAGCAGTGGGTGTGGTCACCCTGCAGGCCCCGGAGAAACTGCAAAGGGCTAACACCCCGAGGTATGACACAGTTCTATCAATTCTGGGCATGATGCCCAGGCTGAAATAGGGCCTTATCCTAGAAAATTGTCTGTATTTTATTTATACCTTTATGAGGAACACAGTGTTCCACCCACTGAGGAACTTCTAGAAGAGCCATTTCAGGGAGGTTTTCACTCAAAGGGGTTTTTCGAATCATCTAAGAAAAAGCTGTGGGCCTGTGTAAGAGAGAAACCTAGTCCAGAAGTGAGACTGACATTTCCCCAAATAACAGAGATGACAGGAAGGGGGCGAGGAGGAAGAGAAGGAAGGAGAGAGGAGGAAGGGAAAGACAGACAGACAGACACCCTGCCAAAGGCGGAAAGCTTGTGCGTGAGGCCTGTAAACCCCAGGCAGCCCCGCCCCGTTCTGGCTCTCACAGGCTCCACTTTCATCTCTACCCATGTTTGTGTTTTCTGTTTTCTTTTAAAGTCCATGTCCCAAGCGTGTGCCTGCCTAGTTCTCCAGATTCAATTTACTATGAAACCCGTTCAACAAGTCCTAAGCACCCCATTTGGCTTCATTTCCTGAACATGGAATAAACCTACTTTTTATTACGTCCCAGAGGTCAGAAATCAGACCACCTTAGCATCGAGAGACCATGGTCCTGTGAGTTACTGTGATTCCCCTGGTGACCACGGAGCTGTTTTGCGCTAATTGCTCAGTGTATGAAAGGAAGACAGAAAGAGCTGGTGGGGCCATACCTTGAGGCCCTGCTAACTCGCTCACAAACAGGGGAGCAAGAGGAACCCAGTGCAGCAGAAAGGCTTGTAGCCCAAGGAGCTCCGATGTGTGTTTAACACAGATGATCTGGCGCTCAGGCAGAGCCTCAGATAGGGTGCTGTGTGCTCATGTGTGTCGGACATAGATGTGTTGTCAGAAGCACTTTACGTGCCTGTCAGAACTGACTCATCGTCTGCTTTTTAAGGCAGCAAATACCGTGCAACCATAGCTCTGCTGATTCCTAATCATCTAACACAATCAGGTAGAACAAATGTTCGAAATACGTTTTTTCTTGGCATATGAAAAATCTCTGTCAGCCTAAAGGCATAGAAGCAAATGCCATGTCTTAATTTTCAGCCAAACACCAGACAGGTCTCAAAGGTGAACGGTAACACCAGGGAGGTTCGCAATCATTGGAAAAGCCAACCTTTTGCCATCCAAAGGGCAGCACCTGCCTAGGGCTAGCACTCAGAGGGCTAGCACTCACGAGGAGTGGAGATGGAACCACAGAGAGGAAGTGGGTAAGTGATGTTGCATGGTGGGATTGCAATCATTGACATGAAACAAAATATGCAAGGATTTGTTCATGGAAAATGGATTGGCTCTGTAAACTCACAATAAAAAGTTAAAAAAATCGAAATGTGGCTTCAAGGTCTACTTCCTGCTAAGGATGAATGAAGGCACAGTGGCAGGCTGGTGGGCACTGACGGAGCTGTGTTCGTGAGGTCGGCTCACCCAACAGTGTAATTAAGGGGCTGTTAGCACTGGCCCTGGTAGCACAGTGGTTAAAGTGCTCGGCTGCTAACAGGTTGGCCATCCTGACTTCAAAGGAACAATCTGGTTGGACTTCTTTCCACACAGATCTCTGTGTTCATT